GTAGATTAGTGCTTAATAAAAACAAACAAAAAAAAAACTATATTTTTCCTCACGTTAAACGTAATAACGGTTTCCCTTTGTACCAAATATTCCATACCGGAAATACCACAAACTTTTCTTCTGGCTGAAGTATAAATAAGTAGAGAGACTTAAGCAAGGTATATAAATATGCTTGTTACTTGAATATATTTCCACTGAAACGTCTGTTTAAGTGGTAGAGTAGCAACGTTGGAAGATAAATACGAAAGTTAGTAAGACCTGGATTATTTCTATTGTAAAAACTCTGGCTATGCCACTGTTATCAGCTTATATCATGGCATACCTAATGATGAGGCGTGTGTTGTTAGTTTAAAAAATCGATTACACAATTGTTAAACAGGCACACGATGGTTAAACAGGCAGGTGATTGTTAAACAGGCACATGATTATTAAACAGACAAATGATTGTTAAACGGACAGATGATTGTTAAAGTTTCATTTATTGATCTCCGTACGTTGCCGAAGAGTTTGACTCCTTGCTTGTCCTATGATATTCAGTCTTGTGCTAACATTAAAAATTACATTACGTAAGTGAAATCAAAGAATAATCTCAAAAATGTATTTATCAGGTTTAACCCAAAACTTGGTCTTAATTAGTATCAATATAAAGTTTGCAAGCCTTCCACCTGTATATTCATAATGATTTTAATTTTACTACATATTGAAAATGTATTCATTGTTTGTTTATGGAACTCTTTAACAGTCTTGTCAACTAAACTGATTCGGGACACCTTTTGATGACAAAGTCTATGTTTAATTTGATCCTCTTTAAATCAGTTCTGTCGTTAACATCGACAGTTAAGTAGTGTATAGGGTTAGACTGCTTTAACTACAAACGTTCCGTTGGAAGACGTATTAGCACGTAGAGCGAAATTCGAAATAGTACTACACTAGTAAGGATTAGTTTCGAAATTCAAAGGGATAATGTGACTATATCTACTCGTTCTCTGCTAATGTCCCAAAACTTGACCAGTCACTGAAGACGTATGTGATTACAAGTACAAGATATGTTATTAGGTCGTCAAGGAATTAATGTCACTTTTTTAGATGAAAAACCCGAACAACTTATACATCAAAATAAACCACTTATTAAATGAAATAGTCTACATTCATATCGATGACGCTTTTCATGTTACAATCAGGTTGTTAATGCCCTGATTAAA